GCTGGCCCCGGTGAGCCAGCCTCTCTTTGCTTTTGAGTGGACGGATCTGGACCAGGGGTTCTCGGGTCAACTTACGTGGACCAGGCTGCCGCAGGGGTTTAAGAACTCCCCTACCCTCTTTGATGAAGCTCTAAGTAGAGACCTTTCCCCTTTTCGGGAAAACCATCCCGAGGTTACCCTTTTGCAATATGTGGATGACTTGCTCTTGGCGGCGGAGTCCGCGCCTGCGTGCCTGCAGGCGACTAGAGACCTCCTGGCCGCCCTGGGCTCCATGGGATATCGGGTTTCAATAAAGAAGGCACAGATCTGCAGTCAGAGGGTGACTTATTTGGGATACGATCTTAGTGGGGGAAAGCGGACACTGTCAGCCAGCCGAGTCCGAGCAATCCAGAATATTCCCACACCCACGACTAAACGACAAGTCAGAGAATTCCTGGGCATGGTAGGGTACTGCCGCCTGTTGATCCCCGGCTTTGCTGAGATAGCGAAACCCCTCTACACCAGCACGGGAGGAAAGGGTGACTCCCTAATGTGGACTGAGGTTGAGCAATCGGCGTTCCAGGCCCTTAAAAAGGCTATTACCATGGCCCCCGCTCTAGCCCTACCCGATCTCAAGAAAACCTTCGAACTTTTTGTGGCTGAGGCTCGAGGTATAGCAAAAGGAGTTCTAACCCAGACTTTGGGCCCATGGAGACGGCCGGTTGCGTATTTGTCAAAACGACTAGACCCAGTGGCGGCAGGGTGGCCCACTTGCATGAGAGCAATTGCCGCGACAGCGGTGCTGGTGAAAGAGGCCAAGAAACTGACACTGGGCCAGGACCTCCAAGTCATTGGGGCGCACGCCGTGGAAACCCTCCTCCGCAGTCCACCGGATCGATGGATCTCCAACGACTCAATACCAGGTACTTTTATTGGACCCCCCGCGGGTCACTTTTTCCAGGGCAGCGGTCCTTAATCTGGCGACCCTACTACCAGACGATCAACATGAGAGTCCCACACATGATTGTGCTGAGATCCTCGACACCCTGACCGGTACCAGACCAGACCTGACGGACGTCCTGCTAGGGCAGCCAGCCCTCAATTTGTTTACAGACGGGAGCAGTTTCGTCAAGGACGGGATTCGCTTTGCGGGAGCAGCGGTGGTCACCAGCTCTGAGGTAATATGGGCACAGGCTCTGGGACACGGCACGTCAGCACAAAAGGCAGAACTTGTCGCCCTGACACAGGCACTCCGGTGGGGGAAGGGAAAAGCTCTCAACATTTATACGGACAGCCGATACGCTTTCCCACGGCTCATGTCCATGGAGCATTGTATAAAGAACGAGGGCTGCTAACCTCTGGAGGGAAGGACATTAAGAATGCAAACGAGATTATGTCTTTCTTAGTTTCCGCCCATTCCGAGCACGTTCCGAAGGTCGGAGGACCGCCCGGAGGCCGCGATTTCCCAGCTCCACCCTGACAAAGGGGCAAAAGTTGCCCCAAAAACAGGGCAACGCGCGCGCACCTAGTCCTTTTGAGAAGCTGTCCCTCCGCGCAGGCCTTCGTTTCTGCCCGTACCGAGCGCGTTCCGACGGTTGGAGGCCCTCCCGAAGGCAGGGATTTGCCAGCCCCACCCTAACATAGAGGCAAAAGTTGCCCCGAAGACAGGGCGATGCGCGCGCACCTTGTTCTCTTTGAGACGTCCCTCCGCGTAGCCCTCCATTTCTGCCCGTACTGAACGCATTTCCACGGTCGGAGAATTGCCTGAAGGCCGGGATTCCCGGCCCAACCCTGACATAGGGGAAAAAGTTGCCCCGAAAAGTGGGCCACGCGGACACACCAAGTCCTCTTTGAGACGCTGTCCCTACATGCAGGGCTCCGTTTCTGCCTGTACCGACCGCATTTCGACGGTCGGAGGCCCGCCGAAGGCTGCGATTTCCCGGCCCCACCCTGACAGAGAGGAAAAAGTTGCCCCGAATTGAGGGAGAAGCAGACACACCTGGTCCTCTTTGAGACACTGTCCCACCACGTAGGCCTTCATTACCGCCCATTCCGAGCGCGTTCCGACGGACGGGGCCCGCCCTGGGGCTGCGATTTCCCGGCCCCACTCTTACAGAGGTGTAAAATTTGCCCCAAAAAGAGGGCCACGTGGACACACCTAGTCTTCTTTGAGATGGTGTCCCTCCGCGAAGGACTCCGTTTCCGCCCATTCCGAGCGCGTTCCACGTTCGGATGCAGGCCCGGAGGCTTCGATTTCCCAGCCCCACCCTGACAGAGGGGCAAAAGTTGCCCCGAAAACAACGGGAAGCGCGCGCACGTAGTCCTCTTGGAGAAACTGCCCTCCGCGAAGGCCTCCGTTTCCGCTTGTTCTGAGCGCGTTCCGATGGTTGGACGTACGCCCGGAGGCCGTGTTTTCCCGGCCCCACTCTGACTGAGGGGCAAAACTTGCCCCGAAAAGGGGGTGACGCGGACACAACTAATCCTCTTTGAGATGCTGTCCCTCCGCGCAGGCCTCCATTTCCGCTCATTACGCGAGCGTTCGGACGGTCGGAGGCCCGCCTGGATACCCTGATTTCCCGGCCCCAGTCTGACAGAGGGGCAAAGGTCGCCCGGATAAGTGGGCGACACGCGCGCACATAGTCCTCTTTGAGACGCTGTCCCTCACTCAGGCCTCCGTTTCAGCCCGTTTCGAGCGCGTTCTGACGGTCGGAGTCCCGCCTAGAGGCCGCGATTTCCCGGCCCCACCCTGACAAAGGGGCAAAAGTTGCCCTGAATAGAGGTCCACGTGGACACACCTAGTCCTCTTTGAGACGCTGTCCCGCCGTGCAGGCCCGCGTTTCCGTGTGTTCAGAGCTCGTTCCGACGTTCGGAGGCTCGCCCAAAGACCGCGATTTCCCGGCCCCAACATGACAGAGGGGCAAAAGTTGCCCCAAAAAGAGGGCCACGTGGACACACCTAGTCCTCTTTGAGACGCTATCCCTCCACCCAGGCCTCGGTTTCCGCCCATTCCGAGCGCGTTCCGATGGTAAGAGACCCGCCGGGTGGCTGCGAGTTCCCGGCCCCACTCTGACAGACGGGCAAAAGTTGCCGCAAAAACAGGGCGACGCGTGCACAACTAGTCCTCTTTCAGACGCTGTCCCTCATGCAGGCCCCCATTTCCACCCATTCCGATCGCGTTCCGACGGTCGGAGGCCCGCCCGGAGTCCGCGATTTCCCAGCTCCACCCTGACAGAGGTGTAAAAGTTGCCCCGAAAACAGGGCGACGCGTGCGCACCTTGTTTTCTTTGAGATGCTATCGCTCCGCGCAGGCTTCCGTTCTGCCTGTTCCGAGTGCGTTCCAACAGACGGAGGCCCACCCGGAGGCCACGATTTCCCAGCCCCACTCTGACAGAGGGGCATATGTTGCCAAGAAAAGAGGGCCATGTGGACACAGCTTGTCCTCTCTGAGTTGCTGTCCCTCCGCGCAGGACTCCGTTTCGGCCCGTTCCCTGCGCGTTCCACGTTCGGATGCACGCCTGGATGCCGCGATTTCCGGACCCAACCATGATAGTGCGGCAAAAGTTGCCCCAAATATAGGGCGACGCGGAAAACCTAGTCCTCTTTGAGACGCTGTGCCTCATGCAGGCCTCAGTTATCACCCGTTTCGAGTGCGTTCCGACGGACGGAGGCCCGCCCGTAGCCCGCGATTTCCCGGCCCCACGCTGACAGAGGGGCAAAAGTTGCACCGAAAGGGGAGAGATGCACGCGTACCTAGTTTTCTTTGAGACGCTGTCCCTCCGCGCAGGCCTCCGTTTCTGCCCGTTCCGAGCACGTTCCGTCGGTCGGAGGCCGGCCCAGGGGCCGCGATTTCCCAGCCCCACTCTGACAGAGAGGCAAAAGTTGCCCGGAATAGAGGGAGAAGCGGACACTCCTAGTCCTCTTTGAGACTCTGTCCCACGAGGCAGGGCCCCGTTTCCACCCATTCCGAGAGCGTTCCGACGGTCAGAGGCACGCCCGGAGGCCGCGATTTCCCGGCCCACCCCTGACAGAGGGGCAAAACTTGCCCCGAAAGGGGAGAGACGCACGCACACCTAGTTTTCTTTGAGAGGCTGTCCCTCGGCACAGGCCTCCATTTCTGCCTGTACTGACCGCATTTCGACGGTTGGAGGCTCGCCCGAAGGCTGCGATTTCCCGGCCCCACCCTGACAGAGAGGCAAAATTAACCCAAAAAGAGGGAGAAGCATACACGCCTAGTGCTCTTTGAGACGCTGCCCTGCCGCGCAGGCCTCCGTTTCCGCGTGTTCCGAGTGCGTTCCGACGGTCGGAAGCCCGCCCAAAGGCCGCGATTTTCCGTCCCCAAACTGACAGAGGGGCAAAAGTTGCCCCAAAATGAGGGCAACATGGACACACCTAGTCCTCTTTGAGAGGCTGTCCCTCCGCGCAGGCCTCCATTTCCGCCCATTCCGAGCGCTTTCCGACGCTCGGAGGCCCGCCCTGGGGCCGTGATTTCCAGTCCCCACTCTGACAGAAGGGAAAAAGTTGCCCCGAATTGAGGGAGAAGCAGACACACCTGGTCCTCTTTGAGACGCTGTCCCACCGCGTAGGCCGTCATTCCCGCCCATTCCGAGTGCGTTCCAACAGTCGGAGGCCCGCCCGGAGGCCGCGATTTCGTGGCCCACCCTGACAGAGGGGCAAAAGTTGCCCCGAAAAGAGGGTGACGCGGGCACACCTAGTCCTCTTTGAGGCGCTGTCCCTCCACGTAGCCCTCTGTTTCTGCCCGTACCGACCGCGTTTCCACGGTCGGAGAATTGCCTGAAGGCCGGGATTCCCGGGCCTACCCTGACATAGGGGAAAAAGTTGTCCCAAAAACAACGGGAAGCGCGCGCACCTAGTCCTCTAGGAGAAACTGCCCTCTGCGCAGGCCTCCGTTTCCGCTTGTTCAGAGCGCGTTTCGACGGTCGGACGTACTCCCGGAGGCCGCGATTTCCCGGCCCCACTCTGACAGAGGGGCAAAACTTGCCCCGAAGAGAGGGTGATGCTGACACAACTAATCCTCTTTGAGATGCTGTCCCTCCGCGCAGGCCTCCGTTTCTGCTCATTCCGCGAGCGTTCGGACGGTCGGAGGCCCACCTGGATGCCCTGATTTCCCAGCCCCAGTCTGACAGAGGGGCAGAGGTCGCCCCTATAAGAGGGCGACACGCGTGCACATAGTCCTCTTTGAGACGCTGTCCCTCACTCGGGCCTCAGTTTCAGCCTGTTTCGAGCGCGTTCTGAAGGTCGGAGGCCCGCCTAGAGGCTGCGATTTCCCGGCCCCACCCTGACAAAGGGGCAAAAGTTGCCCTGAATAGAGGTCCACGTGGACTCACCTAGTCCTCTTTGAGACGCTGTCCCGCCGTGCAGGCCCGCGTTTCCGTGTGTTCAGACTTCGTTCCGACGTTCGGAGGCCCGCCCAAAGACCGTGATTTCCCGGCCCCAACATGACAGAGGGGCAAAAGTCGCCCCGAAAAGAGGGCCACGTGGACACAACTAGTCCTCTTTCAGATGCTGTCCCTCACGCAGGCCCCCATTTCCACCCATTCCGATCGCGTTCCGACGGTCGGAGGCCCGCCCGGAGGCCGTGATTTCCCAGCTAAACCCTGACAGAGGGGCAAAAGTTGCCAAAAAAGCAGGGCCACGCGTGCGCACCTTGTTTTCTTTGAGACGCTTTCACTCCGTGCAGGCCTCCGTTCTGCCTGTACCGAGTGCGTTCCAACAGTCGGAGGCCCACCCGGAGGCCGCGATTTCCCGGCCCCACTCTGACAGAGGGGCAAAAGTTGCCAAGAAAAGAGGGCCACGTGGACACAGCTTGTCCTCTCTGAGTTGCTGTCCCTCAGCGCAGGTCTCCGTTTCGGCCCGTTCCATGCGCGTTCCACGTTTGGATGCACGCCTGGGCGCCGCGATTTCCGGACCCAACCATGATAGTGCGGCAAAAGTTGCCCCAAATATAGGGCGACGCGGAAAACCTAGTCCTATTTGAGAGGCTGTGCCTCATGCAGGCCTCAGTTTCTGCCCATTCCGAGTGCGTTCCGACGGACGGAGGCCCGCCCGTAGCCCGCGATTTCCCGGCCCCACGCTGACAGAGGGGCAAAAGTTGCCCCGAAAGTGGAGTGATGCATGTGCACCTAGTTTTATTTGAGACGCTGTCCCTCCGCGCAGGCCTCTGTTTCCGCCCGTTCCGAGCACGTTCCGTCGGTCGGAGGCCCACCCGGGGGCCGCGATTTCCCAGCCCCACTCAGAGAGGCAAAAGTTGCCCCGAATAGAGGGAGAAGCGGACACTCCTAGTCCTCTTTGAGACGCTCTCCCACGAGGCAGGGCCCCGTTTCCACCCATTCCGAGAGCGTGCCGACGGTTGGAGGTATGCCCGGAGGCCGCAATTTCCTGGCCCAACCCTGACAGAGGGGAAAAACT